AGGCCTATCAATAGAAATAGTTACTTTGGCTCGAATGTAATTTTGAACTACAGAAATGAACTGAGTAGGGCCTAGGCTTTCAAACAATGGTCTTCCTACATTAATTGAGAGGGTTTCAAAAGGCAGATTATGGAGTTGTACCCATAGTTCAACTTGTTGGAGATTCCAAGAATACTGGGGTCGACCTGGGGCCCAAGGCTGCATGATCTTCTTCAAAGCGGAACTTTAAACGAAAATGACCTCGATAGAAAGGAGCTAAAAGTAATTGATCTAGGACGAGATTCCAAAGATCATAAAGACCTTGAACCACTTCATCGAATTGATCAATGAGACGAAGAAAGAGACGACAAATCAAAGAAAGATTCCAAGAATCGTTAGCATTAGGTCAAAGTAACGGTTGGATGTTAACTACTTCAATGTAACCATGACCTTGCCCTTGCAACATATTCTGAAAAGTTGCATTGAGAGCTTCGAGATTGTCCATTGTCGAAATGGAGAAAGCACATGAAAACTTAAAAGGATATTGTACCAAAAAAGAAAATAAAAACAAAACTGAAAATAGACTTATTGCATGACACTTCTAATTAATATATTATATTATATTTATATTTTAATATAGATTATATTATATTATATTATAGGGAAAATTCTCTATTAGTACCCTTTACTTTGGGCCTAGTGTCACTTTAGTCCCCAAACTTTAAAACACGACAATTCAGTACCCAAACTTTCAAAATGTGTCAATCCAGTACCTATCATTAACCAATCCGTTAAGTGATATTTGAAAAGACACAAATGCCCTTTGAGCGTCATCTAATTTTCTTTATCAACCATCCACATGTTGATAAAAAATAAATAGTTTCAAATCCTTGCCTCTTCTATTCAAGAAAGTTGGGGTTACGTCTCAATGCATTTTGGTGACCCCAACTTTTGTGAACAGAATATGCAAGGGTTTGGGACTATTCATTTTTTGTCAATGTTTGGATGGTTGATAAAGAGAATTTGATGACACTTGAAGAGTATTTATGTCTTTTCAAATGGCACCTAACACCTGGTTAATGGTCTGATTAATGACAGGTACTAGATTGATACCTTTTAAAGGTTTGGATACTAAATTATCGCATTTTAAAATTCAGGGACCAAAGTGACACTAGATCCAAAATACAAGGTACCAATTTGGAATTATGGAACTCGGATATTTATCAAGTCTTATAAGCATAGATTCAAATTTTATTCAATTTCATCGAATGTTAGAACTCAGATTTTCAGATTTTTCGAATACCATTTGGAAGGGGCAGCGTAGCCACACTAGTCTTCTTTTTTTTTTCACGAACAGATAGGGAAGGAGAGAATTCTGATGGAAGGAATCAAAATTGTTTTTCTGGGATTTGGTAGTTGGCACCAATGGTACAGTTACAGATGCTTGGTTCCTGCAAACCTCTTGACTCTGGATGCAGAGCTTATCAGTAGACTAGCTAATGATCATGAGATCCTGGTAGGCGGTAGCAGTGGAGGAAGGTTCAATTGGAAGCTTCGGATCTCGTGTATTCTTCGTGATGGGTCTCCTCAAGGTAATTTTCGTATGGAGAAAACCAAGACGTTCTATTGCCTGTACAAAAGCTTCATTTTATTGAATCTAATATTCAAGCTTCCCTGCAGCTGAGAGCGATTGTGCTTCTTCATATATTCATGCATGAAGCAGGGCTCTCTCTGTGCAAAAATAGAGTTGGCAGCATGAAAAGCAGAATCTCATCCTATAAATAATATAATTTATCATTCAAAAACTTTTAAATGTCCTTGAGTCCTTGACTTCTTGTTCATCTGATGGGAAAAGTGAGAATCTGGATTTTAGTTCCCCATCTTTTGTATTTCCCTTTATCCTTTCATCTTTATATAATTCCTGTTGTAAAATTATATTGAAATCAACTGACCTTTGATGCTATCCCCCCCCCCCAGATCACGTTCCCATCTCATCTCATAAGTCATAATTGAAGTGTAATGGCTTAAAAAGGTGAAGAATTACCTTAAAGTTTAAGAATAAAATTAACTAAAGTTTATAAATTGATAAAAATAATATATCTATATAAATATATTAAGCTGAAATGTGTAGTAAGAAGGCATGAGGATGAGGGAAATGGAATCTAACAGTTTTTTTACCTTTTTTTCTTTGAAATTACAAGAACACCACTCTACCAATTCTCTCTTTTGTTTTTTTTTTCCTTTCAAATTACAATAATACCACTCTCTCCTACCAATTCTCTCTCTCTCTCTCTTGCTTTTTTTCTCTCAAATTACAAGAATGCCATTCTTTCTCTTTTTCTTACAAATTACAAGAATGCTATCTCTCTCTCTCTCTCTCTCTCTCTCTCTCTCTGAGGGAGACCTCAGCTCGGCATCTCTACTGCTAGGGGACTTGCAATCAAAGGTAGTCGAGCTCGAACTTCTGAGCTCAATCTCAAGTTTCTAATTTGAATCGAGCTCAAGCTAGATGACACCTCGACCACTGAGGGAGGCCTTGGCTCGGCACCTCAGTCACTGAGGGGGATCTCGGCTCAGCACATCGACAACTGAGGAAGACCTTAGCTCAATACCTCGTCTGTTAGTGAAACCCCAGCTCGACACTTCAGCAGCTGAGGGAGACCTCGGTTTGGCACCTCGACAATTAAGGAAGACCTTGGCTCAGAACCTTGGCTCGACACCTCGACTACTAGAGAGACCTGCAACCAAAGGTAACCAAGCTCAAACTTTCGAGCTTTTGACTCAAACCAAGCTCGAGTTTGAACTCGAATCTCTAATTCGATCGAACTCGAGACTGATAGTTTATGAACGAGCCCCTGCAACGTAGAGCCCCTTCTGCTAGTAGTATACTAAATTAGAATGATAGAAGGTATAAATATCTATAAAATAAAACTTTAGAAGAAAGAAGATAACTTAATTAATTTGATCTTTGAAAAAAATTAATGAAATAAATAAATACATTAAAAAAATGAGAAAAATAACAAACTTGGGATGTTGGATTTAGAATAATAAGAAAAATCACTTGATCCATTCAACAGCTAAGAACTTGATTGGCCCTTTTTGCATCGAACTCTCCTAAAACATTCATTTTTATTCTTTTTATTTATTTGACTCATAATTGTTAAAGTGCTTCTTCCATATATTTTAAGCTATAAAAATGCATATAATTTATATTATTTGCATTACGGCTTGAGGCATATGCTTGCTTCATTAACAAATCTTCAATATGTGGGTAACCTTTCTTGACTGGGTGTTGGGTATTGTGGCTTTTATATCATGTGGTGTGCTTGAAAGTTGAATCTATTTAGACCTACTATGACGTGGTTTAGTTGGTAGTCTCTCAACTTCCCACTGGGTTTGCTTTAAATTCAATTCATTGTGGTGTGGATTGATCAACAAAGATTTAATTGTAGATGAAAAATTGTAATATAACCAAATTCAGTCCACACTATATAGTATAGTGTGGTTCAATCTGGGCTACACCCGCAAATGATGTGGATTGAACTAAGCTATTCATGATATTTTTACAATACCGAATTTGGTTCAATCCATTTACTGGGGCCAGGACTCATGAATGGACAGGAAATTACTCTTGTTCATGGGCCGGGCTTAGACTTGGCTTTTGTCATAATTCTAATGGGCATTAATGTAAAATCGAGCCCGACCCCGGCCTGTGACCAGGTCTCATATATCTGCCTCTGCCTATGCATTCCACAAAAAATGATCCATGACTTATTTCAGTGGTTCACAAAAGGACCAATACACATAGGCATAACACATGGCACGAGTCAAATGAGAAGAGTATCAACTATCAACCGGTACTCCACCATTTTCAAGCCATATCTAGTTTGTATCCACCGATAGAACAATGGTGCATAGCCTTTTATTTTATAATTCTCTTAAACTCATTATAACTTTTCAAGACATCTAAAACTCACCGTGTCAGTAAGCTTTTATTTTCCAAAACTCACCAACCGTCAAAGTATCATTAATGTTCATCGGCAGAAATTGTTCATGTCAACATTTATGACCAAAATACCCCTAAATGGAAAATCAGCCTTATTAAACATAATTTTTATGGGTAATCTACTGTTCATCGTCCCGAACAGTGATGGTAATCAGCGATCTTCCCCTTTCCCTTCTCCTCTTCCATCATTTTTTCTCTAAATTTCTCTCTCCCTCTCTCTTCTTCACCTCCATCGAACTGAAATGCCAATCGAAAGAAATTTTCTTGGGAAACACCCTCTTTGGATCCATTCCCATTGAGTTAGGTAGCCTTTCTAACCTGAAGTACTTAAGTTTGTTTGGGAATATAGATTGAATGGCGAAATTCCTGTAGAACTAAATCAGTTAAGTATGATGGAGAGCCTAGACTTATCAAACAACAAGCTCTCTGGAGCAATCAACATCCTGAATAGTCGGCCAAGGAATCTGGAGTCACCAGTTTTATCAGATAATTTCTTGACTGGAAGGATCCCTAGTGACCTTTGTATCAGCAATTCATGAAAATAGGGCACAGAAGGCGGCAGAGTGAAAGGAGAAGCCATCGAAGAGGAAGAAAGCAAAGCAAGAGATAATGAAGGATAAAATAGTAAATTAACGATGCCCGTTAGTCAAATTACCGTTGTCTCACTGACATGATGAGTTTTGGACGTTTTGAAAAGTTATGGTGAGTTTAAGAAAATTCATAAAAAGTGATGATTTACCTTTTATTTATTTATTTGAATTCAAATTCAGATTTGCGATTTGCCTTGTTCTCATGCCATATCAACCACGCTTTACCTCATCAAGATTTTCATCACTAGGTCAAGTTCCGCCAACCAATGGATCAAAATCAGTCATCAAACAATCACAGTGAGAGTCCCGCATCTTACACAAGTAAGCTTTGGCATCTTACACAGGTAAGCATTGGCATGGTTACAGAGTGTCGTTTCCACCAAATACATAAATACAGGCATAGGAAAGAATCCCGTAGCAAAGACTAAAGCAATCATCCACACATCAGAAAGCATATGTAAAATCAGAAGCCATCACATTTTATATAAAATCCAATGCAAGGATAAAAAACAAAACTAGATTGATCATATTATAGATTGAACACTCGGCTGGTTTTCCCATACACAAATCACATCCTAGGTATTTTATGAACATGAATCATCTGCAGAAATCTAATGTCAGTAGCAACCAGCACTGCCCCTTTCTTATCCTCTCGTCCAAGTCAGGTAGCAAACATACACTTGGGGTTCAATGTAATTCGCTGGCGGCTGGCCATCACTCCCCATTTCAGGCTGTTAAAAGAGCACAAAATTTGGTACTAACATTCGAAGTCTAGTTGAAATTCATTACTGCAACACCCGAGAACATATGAAAGTAAAGGTTATTTACCTGTTTCATCCAAGTTGGAAGGAATATCTATTTCTGAAGTATTAGCAAGATCATCCAAGTTTTCCTGTAGATGATCACAAGAAGGTTCTTAGCAAGTCTTGCCAACAGACTTTGTGAGTTGACAATATTCTTGGAACTCAATAGAAGATCCTACCAGAATCTAGGAACAAAAAAAAAAAAGAATTAACAAGTATGATAAGGTCATTTGTCATAAGATCATCTTAATTATCTAAAAGCAAAACGAATGTGGTCAGGGTGGAAAACTTGGCAGAAAGGTCATGGGTGCTCATTAGGCTGCCAGGTGAATCATAGATGCATCTTAAGCCCAAGCCATCCGGAATTGTTTCATAAGAACATTAGGTAGGCAGACCTTTTAAATTCTCATGTTCAAATCTAACTAGAACTACTACACTTTCATGCAAACCCTGTAATTCAGACCAAGAACCATTTGATACTTTTGCTTGCATTGCAGCTTTGCAGTTACAAAGACCTGTCTTAGACCATCTTTTTGACTTAACCAGTGGTGTGTCATCCACGTTTCCACAAGCAAAGTACGGCCATAATAAAAGTATCCCATAGTGGATTTTAGCTTCTCAATACCATGATAGGAGAAAGCATAAAGAGAGGGATGTCTCCCATACATTTCACACGAGTAACATACTTCCCTCAGCTTTTTGTGTATTTTGCAATAACGCCAAGTTTTACTTGTGCTAGTTATAAGAATAAATTAGCTAACTGATAGTTAGCCAGATGAATATGACCAATTGCTGCAGTAAGTTAAAGCTCAAGCAAACCCCTAATAAACAAAAAGGGTCCCAACAAGGGTGAAGATGCCCTAAATAAATTAGCTAACACAGAAAGAAATATACTAAGTTCTATGGAAATTAAAGAAATCAAAACAGCAGAAAATAATTAAGATTTAAGAATATCCTGCGACCAATCAAAAAAAAAAAAAAAGAATATCCTACTATAGATTAACCCTAACTGAAATCCAACCATAAGCACATATAACGATCATGGTTCCAAAGTACAGTACCTGCTCAACCTGATTAATAGAAGGATTCCCAAATTCCAAGGGTAAAGGCTTTGATTCTTCTGGACTTCCCTGCTGATTCCATGGCAAGGCAATAATTAACTCCAGAGATAAACATTATTTATCATACAGTATATGGAAAAACATGAAAAATATAACCTGTAACATAATCAATCATTTAAATCCAATATCGCTGTGCTAGAAACCCAATAGTATAAGTCAAAACTTTAACAAAATTTGTCTGATGAAAAACTGTTGCTAGAAATTTGACTAGTCAAACTAAACATATTCTAATGACAGGCTCCAAATCTACCTGCACATTTTGGTTGACCAAAGAATTCTCACTTCCTACAATAGTCTTTGGAAAATCTTCTAGAGTTCCCTGCAGATCCCACATGTCATATGGATAAGTTAGAAACATGGAAGGAATTTCTTTTCAGTTTAATTCCAGATGGCTGCATCTCTCTCATGCCAGACCTTCAAAAACTTATTTGCCTAGTGAAGAGTGTCCATAATTCACCAAGAAAACATACCTGCTGTCCATCCCGGTTGGCAGAAGGATTTGAAGCTTCCATAGTTGAAACTTTTGTTTCACATGGAGTTCCCTGTAAATTCAAGAATATAAGATCACTACTGAAAAAGAGCTCAATGCTACTAAAAAACTTATAGCTAAGAAAATAAAAACTAAGGGCAATATCAACTCCAAGACCCACAACTTAGCTAGTCATGTGAATATAGTTTGGTGACCTTCAAGGCTACTCAAACTAGATATAAACCATGTTGGCTTCCAAAGAGAGCATACTCACAGGCTCATTCTGGTCAAAGGAAACACTCCTTCCTCCCTTGGACAGATCTCTCAAAGTTCCCTGAAGATCCAATAAACTGGTGAGCACATCTAGAAAGTCACATCAGAAAAAGAAGATAGTAACATTACTGCCAAATGCTATAATCAAGAAAGAAATTTGAATATCAAGACAAGACATGGTTAACAATGACCACCATCAATTTAGTTTATAGAGTAACAACAAAAATAAGACCCACCTACAACTTAGAGATATTTAAACAATTCCCCACTATCCAATTCTATACTCTAATTAGAGCTTCAACAACCAAGTTAATGTAGCCTTAGCACCATCAAGAATGGAAGTCCAGATCTCATAGCACTAAGAAATAGAATTATATGACCTTCTGGAAAAAGAAAAGGCATGGATACTCTCAGACCCATGTAGAAGCAAGCAAAATAGATGCCTTGACTTTTATATTTAAAAAAGAAAAAGAAATTCTGGGAATTTTGTGTTTGCCCAATCACAGAAGCTTAAGAACCTAGAGTGGTTTTTGGAGCTTATGGACAGAAGCTTAAGAACCTAGAGTGGTTTTTGGAGCTTATGGACAGAAGCTTAAGAACCTAGAGTGGTTTTTGGAGCTTATGGACAACCACCAAATGAATCCATACAGAATAATAAAACATTTATATATCCACACCCTAATGGTAATGGGAGCTTGCTGATCACACACCATATATTTTGGCATTCTTGTCCATGTCAAAGATCATAACTCTTTTGATAAATATGAACATTTCCGATATTGTTTCAATTGTTTGGAAAATTCTGTATCTCCTGCATTAAAATGGATCAGCTTCCCAAACAATTGATCAAGATAAAATACATGCTAAAGTATTCTTAAAATAAGAACAGAACAGACACATAATTTAACATCCATGCTAAGCCACATCCAGTCATGCACCATAAAAGATTACAAATGTGGATAAAGCAATAAAAGCTATACCAACCTTATTTGCCCACATAAGGCCACACGCATTGCAAAGAGACCTTGGACCAGCTGGCCCACGACGCATTGCTGGAGTGGACTTCTCACTAATGCCACAGTGCTGACATTTCCGGAGACTACAAACAAAACAAAAGATAGTAGTTTAGGCACAACATCCCTTTCCTTTTTTTTTTCTTTTTCCCTTTTGACAAAGGAATCTGTCAAGAAAATTCATGAGAATTATATTTAAATCCACAAATTGGTCAACACTAAATTTTCTTGAAAACTCACACAATTTCTGGACGAGGAGTACCATCATCCTGAGGGCAACCCTGTGCAGGATCCCAACTGCCAGAGGCAGGTAGCCCTTCTTTATAATTCTCCTTCAAAGATGCAAATTGGCCATTCTTGCGATGCATCCTGACCAAATAAACAAATGAAAAGTACATTAAAATGATGTCATCTGCCAACAAAGGTTACATTAATAAAATATGAAAAAAGGAGTACAGATCTCAAAGACAAAGGGCTGCCAAAAGACAAAAGAAAAACAGCAACACCCAAGTAACAGAAAGCTTTCAATGACTAGGAAAGAAAAAACACATCCAGACAGACAAGAAGCTCAGATCCCCAATACAAATTAGCCCTCCCAACTCAGCATTTTACAATACCATCTATGATCAAATTAGCTAACCTTGGGTCCATTTGAATAAGGGAGAAAAAGCAGCCCTCCCACCCTTGTACAGGTATCTGGGTATCATAGCTTTCAGGGCCCATTTGGGAGGGCTTAGCTTCACATCTAGCTGCTTTGATCAGCTGCTGAATTCAATAAGCTACTAGAAGAGGCTTGTGCAGAGTGTCATGTAAATGGATGTAAAATGACCATATATGGCTCTCCAGATTTTTTACCAAACATCACTTATAGACTTTCTGGGTGGGCCCTACCTTACAAAGCCAAGAGCCACAGCATCAAAACCTTCACAAACAAGCACTCAGCATACACAGCTTGTCTGCTTTTATGTACTTTATATTTTATAAGTTCTGTTTATATATCTTTTATTTTTTATGAGAAAATGTTATTAATGTATCATTATGCATGTATGAACTTGCAAAAATAGGGGCCATCCATTAGCTTATGTTACAACAACACAAATTCCTGACATTCAATAAATTTGTATAATTGCACCAATGAAACATAGAAGGTTGATAAAACTGACCTCTGTGCAACCTCCTTCCGGACAGTGTATCGGATTTTCTTGTCGAAATTTCGCTCCTTGCGCTTCTCGCGAAATCTAACCAAGGACGCAATTCTTCGTGAAAGATTTGAGCGTCTTGGACCCTCAACCACACCCTAACAAATTTATAGGTAAATCAGTTAAGGTATATATAAATTGCAAAATAAACAATAAATTTATGAAAATGTGCATATTAATAAATACCCTATTGTTCTGGTAAGGTACTTCAATACTAGAAACACCAGCAGGTATATCGCACCCTCCCAGAAGCAATAATACTGCTTGAACCTGTTAGTTGCACAAGCCAGAAAAGATACAGCACTGCTTAAGATTATATTTAAAAAGTGCAAACAGCAGATCCAGTGCAGCAACAGCACAATTGAAGTCTGGATATACTCCAGTACACAAACATGTAAAAAGACATTAGTACAAAGCATCAAGATATTAAATGCCCAAAAGCTAGTTAAAAAGAAAACTAAAGAATGAAAAAGATGCAGAGAGAGAGAGAGAGAGAGAGAGAGAGAGAGAGAGAGATTTCATTGATTTGAGAACCCAATAGAAAGAGGTTTTCATTGAAGGGCCATTACTCAATGTTGGTCCTGGCAATCTAGTGTCTTAGGAGGGATAGACTGGATATGGACCCAACTTTTGGCATTTTTTGAATAATGTGGCTGTTTTTAGGGTGGCATTTTCTGCTCTGTTCACTCTGATGCCAAAACCCTCGCCTCTATAGTGTGCTATTTGTAATCTCCAAGGAGCACCAAATATATATTTATCCTCATTCATCTTATCCAATCTCTGAGGCTCCTTTAATGGTACATAGTCTAGAACCTTGGTTCCCAGGATGAACAGCTTGCTCAAATGCATGGAAGCCCGGCAAACTCGCTCTTGATAGCCTAACTGGATGGGTATTGGAAGTAATACTTAGTATTAGGGGGACCACTCTAGTAGGATAATTTCATTTGTTGTGTTAGATGGTACTTTTGACTGGGGATGGGGACTAAGGGCTTTTTTCAGCAAATTGCCACCAGGTCTTGATTATACGGCATTTGTCACACTGCTTACGAACATCAAATACCCCAGAGGCCCACACACATACACACATCAGATTTCTAATAAGTAAAACTAATTATCAATACTTCATAGGATTAAATACATAGAAACCCTGTCCAATGTTGTAATATTTATAGAAACAGCATACATCATATTTCCCAGGTGAAACACAACACTAAATATCGCCCCTCCCCCCCCAGCCCACTTAATAAAAGCAGCCCAAGAAAATTCTTTTAAATATAGATAAATAAGTTATAATTAACGTTCTTTATCTAATTACAGGGTTATTAACATAGGAAAATCTGTACTTGAAGTAACTTATGAAAGCAAAAAACATGTCCAACTCTGAAAATGCACTGAAATTATGTAATAAAGTAATAAACTGCACTTAGGTGCTAGAACCAGAAAGAACAAACAGGAAACAACCATGAAGAAAGACAATTAAGACCGACATGCAAGACTCCCATGTAGTAGTATACACTCTGGCAAAAGGCGAACAAAAATATTACTTTCTAATAACTAAGAAAACCAAACCGTGGATTTCCAACTCCAGTAAAAACGTTGTAATCAAAACGAAGAGATAACGAGTATAGACTTGCCTTTTCTGGCGTCACGGCATGGAAAACGTAAACCTCGCCTTCAAAGGAGAGCGTCAGCTCACTTGTCCGAGACGCCAAACCATAAGTTTGATCAACACGGTTTCCAGAATTCACGTGAACGTCGTCAACATCATCCATCGCCTCATCGCCCACGGCATCAATTCCATCAGCTTCGTATCCACCTCCGTCGTCGTCGATCTGGATGGGAATCTGAAACCGATCTTCGTGACCTTCGTACGGAGGAATACTTTGCAGTGGTTGTGGATTCACCGAGGCCATCAGTCAGAGCATTACAGTCACGGCGACAAACACAAAACAGAGACACACCAAAGACCAAACAACCCTCCTACGCAGAAGTCCAAAAACCAAACCCTAGACCTGAGATCATCACCTGCTCCGTCGCAGAAACATCACCTGTTAGAATTGTCGAAAACCCTAACCCTAATTGGAACCAAAATCGCAGGCTCCAGACCTAACAACAAGATTACCATAGCTCGGAAAGCACCCCAAATAGCCAAAATTTGCCGATTACACCACTCTGTTCCCTGGAGAGAACTCCGTTTTAGCTCTGAAGAGTCGCCCAAAATTTCTGCTTTTCTTATTCTTTCTTTTTCTCGTTACCGGCGAGGAGAGAGAATCCAGGGAGAAAGGAGATGTACATCCTCTTCTGCAGGAATTACTATTTATAAAAAAAACTATAAAAGAGATAACTTAGAGATACAGAAGTCACCCAATTAGTCGCTGGGCAACGTCTGTCAACCGTCCGTTTCGGATAAGATCCCTCGGTAGCTTGTAGGACCCGGTCACGTGACAGTGTCAGATGATCGAATAGATGTTGATCACTAGCGACACCATCATTACACATTGATCCGACGGTCATGCGGGGCTATATAGCGTAGGCAACCCATCATAACCACACCCAACCTGGATTCCTAAGTGGTGGTGGAATACTGTGAAATTACGAAAATAGGAAAACAGTCACGTTGGTAGGTAGTTAGAAAATTGGAGCGTGCATGGACATAGTTCCTTGGAACAAATAGATATATCATCACCTTTTTAGAACTGAGGAGTGTGGAGAGAGAAACAGTACAAACTAAACTACAAACCCCTCTCTCTCTCTCTTTGTGGGACCCATCAAAAGATTTTGTTGGATAAAAATGAACAAGAAATTGATGTTGATAAAGGATTCAACCTGTTGGTTCTTATAGGGCAACAGAAGACATGGGTTACAGTTGAAAGCATCAAAATCAAAGGGGGGTTTGTCATTTGTGGTCTCTAGGGTTTCCAACAAGAGTCCATTCTCAGTACAGTTTCTAGATGGAAATCACATGGTACCAAGGTTTTGTTTTGTTGTACTCAAAGTAAGGAAGGGAGAGTACTTGCTGTTTCTGGGATGTCCTGATTTGGTGATGACTACAGCTCCACCACTTTAGAAGGATGTGTTTGTAAATTCTGGTGCCCCTTAGACTCTGCAATTTCCACATATGTTTGTACATGAGAAGGGGACCTTAGTCTAGTTACTAATTTCCATAGGAAAGGCATGTGGACATGTAGATGTAACCCAAGGCTTGGTCACTCTCTTATTGCTTATAATAAGCAAAGACCCATTAATTATTCTTCTTCTTCTTGTGAAGGACTAAAAAAAAAACAACAACAACTAGGTTTGTCATTGAAGGGTCGCATCAAGATGACAAAATATGTTGGAAAATATACCAAGTACAAGCCTTGTTCTCTTTCAATTTCAACTACAGTTTAAAGTTTAAACATGTCTTTTATTTGGGGTTGAATCATGTTGGGTCCAACTAATATTATCTATAGTTATATAACTAGTTACCAAAGAAAATTAATATTTTTTGTTATTTGAATAATCATTTCTTTTAGAATTTTGATCATAGTATGCCCATCAGCATCAATTTAACACAGCAACATGACAACAATTGGCATCCATGTCCCAAAACCATCATTGATCATTGATCATTGATCATTGATCATTGATCATTGATGATATAAGAGAGATCCTACATTAGTCTAAGTATTGAATTTTATTATGGGATCTGAATTAGACGCAGAGAGCCCCAAGTCAAGCTAGTTTCATTTTTGCTTCAACAGGAGCAGCAAACCCCCGGAAACTGGATTCAGTCGGCGCAAGTTCGAACAGCCGATCATAGCCTTGTATTGGAATATCTCTCCACAGAAGTATGGAGATATTTCCGATATAAGGCTGTAAAAGCTGTTCGAACGGGCCTTTACACTGACTGCAGTCGATCTCCCCCCACCCCCCACCCACATATGGAAATATGTAGTTTTCATAAATGTATTTCAACCAAAAAAATAATAATTGTAGGAAAAATACATGAAATGCATATATATACTGAGTTGGGCCTAGTTGTTTTTTATTCTTATTTTAAGTTATTTAGTTAGGAAGTTGTTGGGCTTTAGGCCCATTAGTTTATGTTTTTAAGTTGTGATTGTTCAATTATATTAGTAGCCGCCCTACTAAGGGCATTCTTGTAATATCTCATCCTTTAAGTTAAGTATAAATATAATGAGGGGTTGGCGGCTAGGGTTAATTCAAGAATCCTAATTGACTTCCTACTCTTTTCTCCCTCTTTTTTCTTCTCTACTACTGAAATCTTTATCTTCCTCCCATTTTCTTTTCACAAGAAATTCAACTAAATCTACAATCAGTGATTTCTATTTGGTATCAGAGCAGGCAAAGGTTCCTTGAGTTGTTTCCTCATGCAGCCCTAGATCGGTCAACTGCATGGTGATTTAAGAGGCTGATCGAAGTTCTTAGGTAAGCCCAGTTTTTTTATTTTTTGGTGAATCTGTGTGCCTGTAGCTGGTCTAGGATTTTTCATCAAAATCAGGAAAAACTGGATAAAGGGGAAGAGTCTTGTTTCTGTTGGACTCTTCAATTTTGACCTAGGAAGTGGCGCCCTAATTTTTTACAGTTCCTTGGAGTTTTCTGTAAGGGGTGGTTCAACTCCTACCTGATTTGGAGGCTTTTAGAGAAAGCGGCTGCCTCTTCTCTCCCTTCTCCTATCCCACAAAAAATGAATCTTTTGTGAGAAGACAATCTAGGACACCGAAAAGGGGTTGTTGGTTCCAGAAGTGTTTCGTTTGATCTTGTTACATATTTCAGTTATTTTCTTTACATTTTTTTAGAAGCATGGAGGGTCACGGAGTTAAAAATAAGCCTGGGAATGAAATGGGACCAGTGGGAGGAGGTGTTGGAGACCTTTTCGGGACTAGGACCATTACTACAGTTAGGTTGGATGGTGCAAATTACTTAGAATGGTCACAATCTGCAAAAATGGTCATTGGTGCTTGTAGGAAATTAGGGTATATCACTGGTGAGGAAGTAAAACCCGAAACTAGCAACTTTCGGTGGGTACAGGAGAATTATATGGTAATGACTTGGTTGTGTAATTCCATGTTGCCCCATATAGGTAAAAATTTCTTATGGGCAAATACAGTTAAGGAAATATGGGATGGGGTTGTAGAAACATATTCATAGAGGGAGAATGTTGCCAAGGCTTATTAGTTGAGAAATTAGATTATTTCTACAAGGCAGGGAGATAGACCTGTTGCAGCCTATTTTTCAGTCATTATAACCCTGTGGCAGGAGATTGACCATTTAGAGACATTTGCTTGGGAAACCACTAAGGATGCAACTACCTATCAGAAACATCTARAGAARTATAGGGTGTTTGAATTTCTTGTTGGCCTTAATCCTGAGTATGATATTGCAAGACAACATCTTCTTTCCAGGGACAATGTTACCCTCTCCCAGGCATATGCCTTTGTGTCAGGAGAGGAGAATAGGAGATATGTGATGATGAAAAATCCTGTTTCTGATCAGTCTGCCATGGTGAGTACTGTAAACTAAACAAAGTGGAGATCGGGGTGGTAGTGAAATCAAGAAGGAAGATAAAAGAGATTTGATCTGTGACTACTGTAAGAAGCCTAAACACACAAGAGATACTTGCTGGAAGCTTCACCCACAGCTTGTGCCGACTAGACTGAAAAATAAGAAGAGAAATGCACACATGGCAGTTACTGGTGACATTTCGACCCCTCCTACTACAACTACTCTGGAATCTGTTGCAGCTGCTGTAGTAAGGGCCGAACTTGAGAGGTATGGGCAACTTTTGAACCAACGGGATACAACCAGTTCCAGTTCAGCAACAAGCGAACAACAAGGTACAGGTGGCACTGGTGGAGTCCACTTTACTGCCTTTGCTCACACAGGTAGTTCACACGTCACTGCAAATTATGTTTCTACTTCAGGTAAGGAGGGACCTCCTTGGATTATAGATTCTGGAGCCTCAGAGCACATGACCCATAACTCTACTATTTTTTCTTCTTACCAGATCTATTCTGGCAGAGATTGGATCTCCACAACTGATGAATCCCATGTTCCTATTGCTGGGAAGGGGTCTGTCAAGATTAGTGGTTCTATTTCTCTACCCTCAGTCTTTCATGTTTCTAGATTGAGCACTAATTTGTTATCTGTTAGTAGTTTGATTAAGAACCTGAACTGCTCAGTAATTTTTTCTCCTGGTCATTGTATTTTGCATGATCTGGATTCAAAGAGGACGATTGGGAGTGGTCGTGAAGTGAATGGGATCTACCTCCTGGATGTTCTTCCTCCTCATCAGAGTCATCATGTCAGCAGGAATAGTGAGTCAAGGTCTGTGGGTCAAATTATGCTTTGGCATAATTGTTTGGGCCATTTACCTTTTTCTTCTTTGAGTCTTTTGTTTCCAAAACATTTTGAGTATGTTAGTTTGTCAAGTCTGGAGTGTGAAGGTTGTCAACTTGGAAATCATTGTATACATTCATTTAAACCTAGTAATAAAAGGTGTTCTTCTTCTTTTGATGTTATCCATTCGGATGTGTGGGGACCTTACCATGTTCCTTCTATGGGAGGCTATCGATATTTTCTCTTATTTGTGGATGATTTCTCACAATACTCTTGGATTTACCTGATGAGATCCTGTGATGAAGTGCCATCCTTGGTGAAGCAGTTTCATCAGATGGTGCTAACACAGTTTGGAACAAGAATAAGTGTTCAGATCAGACAATGCCAGGGAATATTTTGAAAAACACATTGCTTCATATTTGTTAGAATATGGTGTTGTTCATCAGAGCAATTGTCCCTACAGTCCACAACAGAAGGTGTTGCAGAAAGGAAGAACAGACACATTGTTGAGATTGCAAGAAGCATGATGAGCATATCTACAGTTCTAGTTCGGTTTTGGGGTGATGCAGTTCTCATAGCAATATATCTGATTAACAAGGTGCCCTCTCGTATACTTGGATTCAACTCCCCATTCAGTCTCCTTTTTCCCGAGGGGGAGATGTTTCATATTCCTCTCAGGGTGTTTGGGTGTGTCTGCTTTGCGCATATCCTTGGTCCTTACCGTTCAAAGCTTGATCCCAAGGCAAAGAAGTGTGTCTTCCTTGGATATGCAGAAAATCAGAAAGGGTATTGCTGCTATGATCCAGTCTCTAGGAACCGGTATGTTACCATGGATGTCACTTTTTTTGAATCCACTACTCATTGTATTTCATAGTACTTATCTTACAGTGGACTTTCTCCTTCCTACCGTGTTTTTCTTTCCTCCCTTGACTTAGTGTCTATACCCAAGGGTGTTAGTGAGGTTCTCTC